TTCTCTACCTCACAAATTTATTATTATTATTCAGAAAGCAGTGCCTGGAGACTATAAAACGTAACAGAGTTAACAGCTCTACTTGCCCGGCTCTGAAAATATCACTGTTCTCTGACGAATCAAGTATAATATTAACGATTTATCATGAATCAATGTAATTCGGTAAAAATATTAATAAATACTAAAGAATCAATAGTATTAAAGGTAAAAGCCTTTATATTAAAAGAATATAAGAATGACTTTTATATATAAGCGTTAGTATTTAAAAGATAGCTATAAATAAAAGATTATTAAGTATATAAGGTTATATTTAAATATACTAGTATCTTAGAAGAATCAAAGAAACTAGATATAAGTATAACTTCTCTCTCTAGAGAGTTTAATTAGAGTAAAATACTACTGGTTAGAGTCTTAATTCGAAGTTAAGAATTATAATAAAATACTAAGTTAGAAGTTATATTTAAATAAATATTAATATAATATTAATTATTATAATAATAAGTTAATAAGAATAATATAGAAGAAGTTTATCGATAAAAACTAGAAAAATATAAATGAAAGAAGATAAAAGATAAAGAATCGAATAAATATTTAATTATATATTTAATTTATTATCTTAAATCGCTTATAGATAATATAGGAATCTTATAGAGTCTTATATAAGGAGAATCTATATAGGTAATTTTAATTAATTATTTCTCGATTTCTATCGAATTACTTTATAAAAAAGTATAATATAAATTCTTCTATTTCTACTTAAATAAAGATAAATTAATTAATAATTATTATTAATATTTTTAAATCTTAATCGATTATTTAAAGTTATATAAATACTTTATTTTATACTATAAATATATTAAGAAGATAATTAAAAAAATATTATTATTTATAAATAATTATTATAATATATTATTAGATAAAATCAATAAAATAACTAATATAATATTAGAAATAAAGATATTTTTATTATTTAAATATAAATTATAAGATTAATATTAATTATAATAAAATAAATATAAATAAAGAGTTAAGAAATAAAGTTATAATAATAATAATAATTAATAAAATAATATAAAACGATTAGAATTAATAATAAAGATAATAGCTTATACTATAACTACTACCGAATTATTAAAATCATTAAAAAATCTAGTAAATTTTATATGTAGAAACTATATAAATAAAAGTTATTACTTAAAAAGTTATTTATTATTAAGAATTTCGAGTATCGAGTATTATTAAAATATAATTAAGATTTATAAAGAATTAAAGAAAAATAAGATAAATAAATAAAATAAACTAAAATAAGATAAATCATTAATAAATATAATTTAAGAAATAAATAATTTAATAATATTAATATATATAGATAGACTAAATACTATAATTACCTTAGAATATATAGTAATATAAGTTAATATAATCTAAGAAACTAGTATATAGATAATTAATTATAATATATCTAATTATATTATAATATAATATAATAAATTTATTAATTATCGTCTTAAATCAGTTTTAATTCGAGTTAGTAGAAACTAAATCGTCTATAAGATTAATCGAGGAATTATAAAAATCGATATTTTAGATAGAAACAGTAAAAATAAATAAATTACCTTAAAAAATATTATTTATATATCTACTTTTATAAGAAATCTCTTTTTAATATATCGATTCTATATAAATTATTATAATTAATATAGTAAAATTTATTATTATATAAGTAAAAGAAATATTTATTTTATATATTATAAAGATAATAAAAAGATTATTACTAGTTATTATTATAGAATAAATATTTATTTAAATATAGTTTAATTAAAATTAAATATTATTATAATAAATATATAAAGTATCTTAATTAATATATTATATAATCGAATTAAATATTATTTATATTATATTCTCTTAAAAATAATCGAAAATATAAGTAGATTAACGATTTAAAGAAAATCGGTAAAATAATATTATAAAATATATATAATTAGAAAATATAAAAGAATACTATTTAATATTAATAATTCTTAGATAACTAAACTATTTAAGTTAGTTTATATAGATATTATTAACTCTCTTCTAATAAAAATATTAAATAATAAATATTACTTACTAACGATTATTAATAATTATTTAAGACTTATTTCGATTATCCTACTTATAATTATTTCTTAATTATTAAAAGAAATTATTATTTAGATAAATATAAATAAATATATATAATCCTATTAAGTTAAAAAGATTTATATAGATAATAATATAATATTTAAGAATAAAGATATATTAGAATATATAATAAAAATAGAAATTAAATATAAATTAATTATATCTTATATACCTTAATAAAATAGTTAAATTAAATATTTTTATTAAACTTTATTTAATAAAATCTAAACTTTACTTATATATAGAAATCTACCTTATTTATTTTAAGTTTATACTATTATATATATCTATATATTATATAATATAATTATAAATAAAGAAAATAGTTATAAGACTCTATTTAAGTTATAGATTAAACAGTAATTAAATATTATCGATTTTTAAGTATTTAGCTATTTAATATATATATACTAATTTAAATAAGATTATAAATTAGCTTTAAAATTAAAGAAATTTATATATATTAAGAATAGAATAAATAAAAAAATAAAAATATAGAAATTATTAGATCTTATAATTAAACGAATTATTATAAGTTATAATATTATTTTTATCGAAATAGATTTTCTACTATAAGAAACTATAGTAAATATATTAATTATATTAAATTATATCGAAAATAATATACTAATAATAAAATATTATAAAGAATTTAAATTTAAAATAAAATTAATAAATTAAATCGAATTAATTATTATATATTAAATATATATTAATAATAATAAACTAAAGATAATTTATAAAGCTTTTAAACGATTAAATATAAAATAATAGAAATTAATAATTTAAACTAAATTATTATCTCTTATTATAAATAATATTTAGGTTATTATAAATCGACCTAAATCATACTAGATTATAGGATATCGTTAGGTTTTTAAGATTAAATAAAAGGTAGATAATATAATTAATAAATATAAAACTTATTTTATTACTTAAAGATACTTATAGATTCTTAATATCGATTTTAATAAAACTTATATACCTATTATATAAATTATAACTTTATACTTTCTTATCGCTTTTATAATATTATAAAATTAGTTTATTTATTAAATAGATATATATATAGTATATTTATATAATAAAATTAATAAAGAAATTTATATAGAATTACTATTAAATATTAATAATAATCTTATATTAAAAAATAAATACTATTTATTTTAAAAATTACTTTATAATTTAAAGTAAATAAGATAATAATAATATTTAAAAATCGATTCTTTTTTATATAAAATTAATTTTATATATTTTAAAGGAGATTTTAGTTTATACTTAAAATATAATAAATTAAGAAAAATTATTTTAATTATTATATTTTATATCGATAATTTAATAATTTTTATTATAAATATTATTATATTAAAGTAAATTAAGTTATATCTTACCGAAATATTTAAGATAATAAATAGAGAATAAATATATTATATTTTAAGAATTTAATTAATTTAGACTTATAACTTTATTAAAATTTATTAAATAAAATATATAAAGTTAATTATTAATTAATTTCTTATAAAAGCTTAGAAAATACTTCCTATCTAAATCTCTATAAATTATTTAACTATAAAAAGATTACTTAATAATACTTTATAAATCTTAACAATAAATAAATATATAAAATACTATTTAATTATTAGAAAATTAATTTATCTAGATATTTATATATACCTAGATCTTTCTTTTATTATTAATCGACTTTTATAATTTTTAATTAAGCTATAACTTTATTATTTAAAAGCTACTTATTAAGTTATATACTATCTTATTTAATCTTTAGAAATCGGTATCGATTATAAATATAATATATCGAATCCTACCTTATCAGCTTATTCTGATAGTGATTAGGCTAGAGATTCTTCTATATATTCTACCACTAACATTATTCTATACTATAAAGATATATTAATTAATTAGAAATTATAAAAATAATCGATTATTATACTTTCTTCTACTAAAATAGAGTATATTATAATAACTCTTACTACGACTTATATTATTACTATTCTCGATCTTATAGAATACTTATAAATCGAGATAAATCTACTAATTTTATTATTTATTAATAATTAAATAGCTTATATTATTATCACCGATTATTTAGCTACTTAATATATACAATATATTAATATTCGTTTTTATTTTATTCGTTATTACATTAATATAAATATAATTAAACTATAACTAATTTATACGATAGCTTAATTAGCCGATACTTTAACAAAACCTCTCGATCTTCAATAATTCTCTTTATCTTTATATTTATTATCTTTAAATTAACGGATTCATCAACCTTCGTTACGAGGAGAGGTGTTAGGATATAACGTATACGGTATGCCTAGCACGTGTATAGGCGTCACTTGCCGTATCACGCCGTATCACGCCTTAACGCCTGTTCCGCCATAAAGGCTGACGAACCACAGTCTTGGTACCCATAATTAGCCCATTTGTCAATTATAAATAGTCTCATATCACATGTAAATTCTACCCACCTTTCTCTACCTCACAAATTTATTATTATTATTC